CCCGTCTGGCACCAACAACCATGCCACGCTCAAAATTGCTGAAATCACCTTTCTTTCCCATTCTTACATTCAGTTTGGAGTTCAGGAGATTTTCTTGACCAGGACCACACCCCTAAATGCATTGAAGCACCTGGCATGTGATTGGTTGATTAGATAATTGCATTAATGAGAAATTGAAAAATTGAACAGGTGTTCCAGTGTATGTGTGTGTGTGTGTGTATATTTATATAAACTAAAACAAATTCTAAAACCTTTTTTAAAAAAAAATCTAAAAGTGCATTGTGGATTTGGCATCTCACCCACTGATGTCTCTAGGGTTGATTTCACCGGTCACTCCGACGGTTACACCAACCCCAGCAGCAGTGCCAGTCTCAGCCCCAGCTGACCTGCTGGAGTCAGGTTTTGATGCCTTCGGCAGTTCGCCGGTGTCCTCCACACCAGCAGTGGCAGACAGCGCCCTCTCCACCGCAGCAGCATCTGGTGGCTTCGATACGTCAGGTGAAAAATCATATTATATACTGTATGTTCCCCAGGTGTTTTGAACAGATTACTATACTCTCACATTAAACATTGATAATTACCTTCTTGCCAAAACTGTTTTTATTTTCTCTTGAACACAGCGTGCCGTTTTTTCAAGCTTGCTTGCTTATCAGCACACTTTCGTCTTGCATGAGCACTTCTGTATCTGCTGACCTTTTTAAATAATACAGAGAGGATGTGGTAGTGCTTATAAAATGCATTCTCCCTGTGCTTTTTCTCCTTTTTCATTTTTTTCTTGTGTTCTGTCTATTCTTGCTCTCTTAATATAATGCTGCTTTTCTCAACTGTATCATCTGTCCCATTATTCTGTCATGTCTCTCTCTCTCTCTCTCTCTCTCTCTCTCTGCACTTCGTTTCTGATAACTTTCTCCTTGCACACTGATCTGGCTCATTGCTTGCTCCTGCTGGTGAGTTGGTGAGAGAACTCAGGGCTTTGCGGCATGTATCGCTGTAGACGATCACGCTAAAGGGATTGGGAGGTTTGAATGTTCAAGCGCTGTTTGTTCATCCACTGCACATGCACACCCTTTACCCTTTGAACTCTGTGCAGTTTTTCCCTGCTCGCACATTTTACAGATCTTGAGCATTACTGCATTAGAATGAATTGCCTGCCTTAGTGTTGTTACTGTACCGGAATACTTTTTCATAAAATATATAGAATGATAATTTCAGCATATACTGTATTATTAGCTACTTTTTAAATGTGTTGTGAATTATTCATGCTTTTCTAAGTTGTATGTTTTTAAGTATTTGTAAAATATGTCAAATAAGAAAAAAGTAATTTTAAGCTATTAAAATATATATATACCATATACTCGGTGCACTTTAAAATTTTGAAGACCCAAAAACTTACCTTTAAGGTTTAAAGTTTTGGGTCATTGACTGGGAGGTGTATGATCTCAGCCAATCTCCCCATCCGGTACAGTTAGTTCTGCAGTGAGGATATTTTCTCTGGTGCCTGACATGATGTGTCCAACCATGTTGTAATTTTGTACTGTAAATCCTGTTTATAAAGATGTTCTGATGTGTGTTGCCAGTTTGTGGTTTCCTAATGCATGTAGTTAACACCCCTGGATGCAATTTTTGAATGTTATGATAAATGTATGGATCTCAATTTTTTATTTTTTTTTAAATACATGTACACTTTTGTTCAAAGGTTTGGGGTCAGACAGATTTTTATTTTTAAGAAATTCATACTTTTATTACACATTAAATTATCCAAAAGTTACAGACATTTATAATGATACAAAAGATTTCTGTTTCAAATAAATGCTGTTCTTTTGAACTTTCTATTCATCAAAGAATCCCCCCAAAATATGTATGGTTCCCATAAAAATGCTAAGCAGCACAACTGATTTCAACATTGATATTAATAATGAATGTTTTTTTTTTAGCGCCAAATCAGCATAATCATTTTTATAATTGATTTCTGAAGGATCATGTGACACGGAAGACTGGAGTAATGATGCTGAATATCAGCTTTGCCATCACAGGAATAAAATACAGTTTGAAATATATTAAAATAAAAAAACAGTTATTTTAAAGTGTAATAATATTTCACATTATAACTGCTTTTGCTGTATTTTTTATCAAATAAATCAATTTTTGGTAAGCATAAGAGACTAATGAAACATTTTAAAAAATCTTACTGACCTTTTGAATGGTAGTGTATATTTTATTTTAATGTTGCTGTCTTTTATTTTACTCCTGTTTTGTTACAGTAAATCAGCCTGTATTATATGGGATTGCTAACAAGTTGCATATCCAAATCAATTCTAGGCTAAAATAGTCTCAATCCATGCTGGCTATATTAACCCACTCTTCTCTGTCAATGGCAGTGTTTGGCGGATTAGGAGACCTTCTGATGCCAGCCATAACCCCACAGAGCACAGGCGGGACACCCATGGCTGCAACGAGCATGCCGTTGACACCTGGAATTGTGCCCACCGCTGGGCCGGCAATGGCTCCGGCCATGGCGCCTGCAATGGTACCGACAATGGCACCCGTAGCAGCTGCCCAACCAATTAAACCTATCGGAGGAGACTTGGACACTTCACTCGCCAATCTGGTCGGAAGTATGTATGGAACAATTATGTAGGGGTCATTGTCCCCATGATGCCGACTCAAACTTATCTTGTTTCTTCCTCTCTTGTAGACTTGGGAGTGGGAATCCAAAAGAAGTAAGTTCAGTGTCTGTTGCAGCGAGCCTCTATGTCCATGTTGTTTCAGAAACACCTATTAATCTTGTCACTTATCCGTAATGTCTATTCACGGGCATGATTTACTCAACCTGACCCGTATTGATAATTCATTTGGACTGTTATGGATTACACAATTCAATCATGTTCACTTTGTGTGGCCCTAGAGCTGTGTTTTTGAATGATTTGCACAGTATGTTGGCTGACAGCTATTTGTTTTGCACAGGGACAACCAGTGGAGTGAGAAGAAACTGACAGGAGGAGCGAACTGGACCCCTCAGGTCGCCCCGAGTAGCTGGGGCACTCCTGGCGCTCAGATGGTAGCGGCTGCTTCTTTCTTAAACACATTAAAATGTTTCTTGTATATCTTATCATATTTCTGTTGTGATTGTGTTTAGTCTGGCTCGGCCCCTGGAGCCACAGGAGCTGCCGCCCCACCTGGAGCAATGGCACCACCCATGGGAGCACAACCTGGCTTTGGCATGGTAAGAAACCACTTTTAAAAACTCTATTTTGCACTTACTGTATGCTCTTATGGATGGTTATTTTACTTGTCCTTTTTTACTCAGCCCCCAGCAGCTGGAGCTCCCATGATGCCCCAGTCTGTGATGATGGGTCAGCCCATGATGAGACCACCATTTACAGGGCCAGCAGCAACAGGAACACCCGGAGCACCAGTAAACAACATACACAAAAATGCACATGCCAACATTGTTAAAGTCAACATGAAATAGAAGTTGTAGTAGACATTTCTTCCCTAAATATGCGAGTGAAACAACTTATCGAACAAGAAATAAATGTAGGGGGCACTTGAGTTTGGCCATCGGTCATTGTGGTTTGAACTCGTGAGTGATATTTGTGAGTAAACATTATTTTGATAAAAGATTAAAAGGGCACACACTGCAATATTCCATAAAAAAAAAAAAATCAAGAATTGTCCATTTTGATTTAATGGTGACTATTCTCATCAACAAAATGTTAGAAATATTTGTAAGAAAAGGTTCTTTTAGTGCATAAAAATGTGTATCATGACAATTACTATTTTAGGAGATAATATTTTAGGAGATTTCTTATATAATTATTGTAACATTTGGTTTAATTTTGCACTTTGCATGTTATTTTCACTAACTAAAATGAATGATAGACTAAGACAGACTGAAAGATATTCAGAAAACAACTTTTTTATGTTTTTGAAACTCACCTATGTTTTTTGTGCTCACCAAGGCTGCATTTATTTATAAAAAAACAGTAAAAACCATTAGTACATGATTTAAAACTCAATGCAGTACATGAGATCCAAGGGGAGGAGTCGTATCAAGATCCAAGGGGTGGAGATGGCTAGGATTAGGGTTGGGTTTAGGGATTAGGGCGCGGAGTTGGATAGGTTTAGGTGTATGTAAGGTCCAGATCCGACTCCTCCCCGTGGATTTCATGTTCCGCAGTGAGAACCATCTCGTAAAAACAGCAAAAAAAAAAAAAAAATTGAATAAGTGAAATTTTTATCAGCCATTACTCTTCCTCAAGCACCCTTTATTTCATCAGTTGTCTCCTGGACCAGCTGCTCAGAGCCCCAAAAAACCTCCCAACAAGGACCCACTTGCGGATCTCAACATCAAGGACTTCTTATAATTTTCCAGGTATCATTATCTTCCAAGTGACTTCTTTAAATGAGGCTTCAGTGCCTCATTAGTAACATGACATTTTCTCCATATTCTATCTGCAGTATATGTTTTCTCAAAGACTGAGCTCCAGTGAGAGAGGTCTGCTGTCTGTTTACACCTCCAGATGCCAGAGGAGCCTGCAGCTAGATATCCACTGACCCCGCCCACTCGGCCCCACCCAGCATTCCTGTGTCATGTCGTAGCACAAACTGTGAAGTAAATCGTAGAGAAAAGAGAAAAATGAAGATGTGCTTATCTCAACGTTATCTTTGTTTTGAGCGAAACAGAAAAAAATGATCTAAAAAAATGCACACAAATGAAAATGAATGATTAAAAAAGATTCTTATGTATGGCAACTTTTTTTTTCCCAGTGTTTAAGTCTGAATGATGTGTGTGTGTTGATCCCCTCAACTTTAATTCTGGTTCCTCTGGGACTTCCCTTTTGGGGTCAGAGGTCCTAAACAGGTTGTTGAAGTGCTTTCTGTTGTCTGTTAGTTTTGGAGCAGTGTGCAGACGGTACTGTGTATATTATCCTCATTGATGAAAAGGTCTCTCCTCTGCTCAAATTTTTATCTGTGGACAACTTATTGATGTGTACCTGGTAATCGGATTAAAAGAAATGCTATCGTCATCTCCCATCATCGACTGACATGTTTGTTTACAAAATATAAATATATGAGATATAAATATACATGAGTTATGTATAAATTAATAGCATATCTGGGCTCCTCTATAACCTCTTGGTGATTACATGTCATTTTTGTATTTTAACTCATATTTTTTTATATATATATTTTTTGATTCTTTAGTTTGAATTGTTTTAATTTAATAGTCAATGCGTTGTCAGTTCACTGTTTACATACTCTTTATGGATATCGGAAGAACCCTGAGGTTAATCTTTATGGATAATCTCAGCAAATTTGGATTTTAATTCCACTTAATCTCAGTGCTACAAATCTCAGATGATCTCTGAGAGAGGCCTTTTGCAGGATCTTAAAATAACAAATATGTACAGCAACTTGTTCAACTGGTGATGTTTCCCCAAAAAAACAAAACAAAACAAAAAAGCTCCCAAGATTTCACAGATGTAGTCAGTGTAATGCTGTGTTTGAGTCTCATAGTTACTTGTGCTTGTATGAAATCCAAACTGAAGCTGGTACATGTTGTGTTATTTTGTATAATTGTATAAGAACCCGTTCACATGTTTGGTTCTCAGTCTTACCCTCTCATGCAACATTATGAACCCTGACCTTTGTTTGTTACGTTATCCGGTTGATTCATGCTCCCTCTGTTGGTGGGTGGTGATACTGTAGTTTGCACAACAAAATGGACTGTGGAGGAGATCTCTTATAAGAGAATAACATAGATAATAGGGTGTAGGTTCAATAGCAGTGATAGACTCTTAGATCTTTGTCAAAGTTTTCAGGAGGTCACTGTTAAACAGTGTTACAGAAAGGTTTGACTGACAGCCCTGTATCACTGTCCCTGTTAGATCTCTCATGGAAATGACAAAGACAGATCTTTGAATCTCTCTTTTGCAGTTCTCTGTTCCTTTGAAATACATTTTATTTTGATTTATTGATTCACATTTGACACCCCCTACATAGTGCATGTAAGCCCTTTGAGATGCAATAAACTGATGGGAAGAATTGCCCACCTGTGTCCCCCTAGTGTCTGTTTTCACAATGTATATAAAATGAAATTTAAATGTTATCAATGTTACCATTTTCTTATAAATATAGGCTGTGGAATGTAAAAGTATAAGCAAACTTGGAAAAACAAGATTATGTAAGTTTGATGAAAAACAAAAAAATTAACACACACTATTTTGTCCTCTTAGACCAATACATATAAATCTCAGTTTATTTGGTCCTTAATAAAAAAGATTAAGGAAAAAGTTGTACAAAATGAAAATTGATGCAATCCGATTTTGATAAATCAATTTTATATTAAGATTTTTGATTTATATTTCCTATGAAGCTGCATTGCTTTTCTCTTTATCATAATAACAATGCTATTTATTATCAATCATATCATATTTAAATAACCCTGTGTTTTTGTAATGAACAACATGATCATATGTAACTCATAATACAAGCCTTACATTAAATACATACTTACAGTTCTACAGTAGGCTGTTAATTCGACAGGTCCTTAAATGTTTTATATTTTAAAATTAAATTAGCACCAAAAGTCAACAAGGGACTCTGAAAATTAAGCCTAAACCTTCAACTAACTGCTTGCATTGTTATACAAAAGGCAGAAACAAAATGACAGCCCATGAAGACAGGTTACAGTTTATGCTGTCAAAGGCACACAATCATAACTTTTGTGACCCTGGACCACAAAACCAGTCAATGTTGGGTCCACATGGGGCAATTTTGTAAAAAAAAAAAAAAAAAAAAAAAAATTAGATTTATACATAATCTGAAAGCTGAATAAATAAGCTTTCCATTGATGTATGGTTTGTTTGAGAAACATTGAGCAAATCGCCTTTAAAATTGTCCATTTATGTTGGCGATTGTGCTGCATTCACTCAAAAAATAATAATAATGTGTTATGTAGGAAATTTACAAAATGTCTTCATATAACATGATCTTTACTGAATATCAAAATATAGGCCTACCCGTGCAACTTGTGACTGGTTTTGTGATCCAGGGTCACATCTAATAATAACAATAACAAGGATAACAAGAATAAAGAATTTCAAAGAACACCAGCATATTGATACTTATGTGCTCTTCAAAAAGAAAAAAAGGAAAATAACAAACAAAGCTTCTTCTCTCAGAAAAAAAAAGTTTTTTTTTCTTGTGTCAACTAGTCAGATCTAGCTTTCAAGGTATCCAGACAAAACAAATGCCTCCCATAGCAAACAACACTGATTGAAGTACATTTTCTAATTCAAAACAACAGTTTAGGACAGAATTAGTTCTCGTTAGGACAACTGAATCTAGAAGTACATTCGTTCTAACTGATTCATAACAAAAGTTGTCTAATAAAATAAATTAAGGTATCAAAATAGCTTGGAAAAGTTCAATGGCGTTTTATAGTCTCTAGTGTTGATGAATGCAGCAGTTTGTGTAGTGCACAAATGGGAGGCACAAGGGTTGGTGAGAGCCGGGACCGAGGCAGTCAGAGGAGGGAGTCTCTCAGGTGCCCCGACATTGGTTAGAGTCCCCGTGGACCCAGCGGCAGATTTGTGCGTACTTCAGGGGTGTGATTCGTACGGCCACATTGTAATCCTGCTGCACCCCGTTAACATCCACCCACTGGTGACCCGAGAACACGCCAATGATTTTCCGCTTCCACTTCTTCTTGCCAGGTTCTTTAAGGCGAATGTAGACGCCTGAGCCGCTGGAGCCGGGCTTGGCATCGCAATACTGGTACAACAGATCGTTGGACTCCTCGGATACAGAGCAGAAGCGGTACACCAGGTTGCCCGGTCGGTCATCGTCGAATCCCGAGAAATGTATACGTCCAGCGGGCAGCTTCTTGACGGAGGGGATGACGCCTAAATCCATGTACTTGGTCTTCTGCGCCCTCTTAAGCTCCAGGATGGCGTAGTCATAGTCGGCCACTATGTCCTCTGAGATGCCTTTAAACCAGCCCTTCGGCACCTGCATCTGTTTCACCCGCGTCCACCGGAACGAGGGCTGTTCAGAGACGGTGCTGCGGCGACTTCGGTTCCTTCTTCCTTTGCCTTTGCCCTTACCCTTGCGTTCATGCTTATCTGCAATCTCTCCATTTTCGTCGTTTTCTTCTTCCTCTTCTTCATGTTTCCTCTGGCCTTTCCTTCCTTTCCCTTTCCGGCCTTTCTTCCGGCGCGAACGCTCTTTCAGCACGCCGACGCTGAGTTTCTGTACCCCGTCTAGGTAGTCCGTGCCGTTGTGGATGCAATGAGCGGCCGTCAGGACGTGTTTGGGGGACACCAGCACTCCAGAACAACCAGTGGAGATCTTCACAGATGTGGAGAAAGGATACTTCATAGAGTACTGCTTGTCAGCGATGGTAAACCTCGTATCCGTGCCGTAGACCTCTCGTCTTCTGCGAGCGCGCAACCGAGAGCCTCCCGTCCAGTCGTCGCTCACGTTTAGATCCTGCACGGTGACGGTGGTGAGCGTGCGTGTTCCGTTGTCGTACATGGTCTCGTAGGACAGTAGCTGCTCCAGATCATCCAGACTGGGCTCTGGAAGACCCTGCTGGCACTCAATGCCACATATCCCATGGAGCTCACTCTGCGGCTTGGCCAAAAACTCTGAACTGCCCAGATGCACCGTTTGCTTTTCTTGTAGCAGTGGTACTTTCCTCTGCGGCCAGGTGTAGTCATCGTCACCTGTGGGATCGTCCACTGCTGCAGACACCAGCACGGTCAGCGCTGAGATGGAAAGCAGGAGCATTAAGGGTACCGGGCCCATTGCAGAGAGACCCCTAGACCAGAGAAAAAGAGAATCAGTAATATCACCTTTGTTCAGTAACTCTTTGTGTACAGGAAAACAAAGGCGGTTTTCTAACTGAGAAAAACAGGAAAGAAGTTAAACCTCTGAAATCTGTGAACAATTTAAATTTCTTTAGTATAATGTGGTAGCCTATTGTATTTCAACGCATTCTAAAGTTTGCCAAAGCGTAGACATCCAACGCACATGGCATTTAGGGTCAATATACACGCACAGAGTATGGTAGGCTTAGGTCTGGGCTAGGTTTAGGGTTAGACCACTAGGAGGCGCCTTCTGCCCCATATATATCTGCGTCTCATATTGACGCTAGGTGCCATGTGCGTTGGATGTCGTATATGACGCCTTGGGATGAGAACGGGCTAAGCACAGTCATAGCCAAACATATGAGGTTTTAAATTGTTGGTATCGTTCGATATTGGATATTTATTTGCGCACAGGCATACTATTTCTATTTTATTTCTAAAAGCCTGGAGTAGTCTATAGGCCAGATGAATGTGTAATGCGCACTTTAGGGTATAAGTACAAGTGACATATTTTGTCAGCAGTATATGTGCGTATTGCATATGTGTTTTTTTGTATTGTTTAATTGTATCGGTAATATAAATTTTCCCTGAATATAAATGCAATATGCATGCAGTCTGATACTAACTCTCGAAAACCCTTGCATACACCTGGCTTACAGACCGTCATACAAATTAGTGGACCTCATTCCTGGTCCTAGCACTATACTATTTTGGATGTGTTGATTATTTAGCACGTCTGATTTATTTTATCAGCTTGTAAGTAGAGGTTCCGTGACCTGAAATGCGTGTCAGATAAGGTAGACATCCAAAAATAATATTAAGGTAGACATCCAAAAATAATATTAAAGGTTCTATAAGCGATGCTGGGCCAAAACATTTTTTGTCACATACATCAAACGTCTCCTCACTATCGGCTAGCTGGCTGCCTGTCCCCTAAACACACTGTAAAAAAACGCGGTCTCTGTAGACACCACAGGCTCCACAAACGGCAACAAAAACAATCATGTCTTACCCGGACCACGAAACCTAACAAACAGTGTTCCAGCCAATCACTGGAAAGAAGTGTTTGAGGGTGGGTCTGGGGGGTTAGTGCGCGTGCACATGAAGTGTGTGTGTGTGTGTGTGTGTGTGTGAAGGAGAGCAGCGAAGCATCAGAGGGAAGTTTGAAAAATTACCGACACACGACCAAAGAGACGTCGTTCTGAGGAACAAATTAAAAAGAAGAAGGAGTCGGATAAAGAACGTGCGAAGTTCCGAATTTACATCGGTAGCAAAGCTTTTGAACGATGGCGAGAACTCCGGCGGCAGAAGGGCTTCCAGTCCGACATTCAGGTTGCTCTGTTTTTGCTTGACAGGTGGGTAACGTTAAATTGTTTTTTTTCTTCTAAATTGACGCTTATGTTCGCCAAACCCACACAAGGATATAATTAGCTAGAACTATGCACGTTCACAATTATTTCAGGAAGCACGGAAGGGAGGGGGAGGAGATGAGATGCGGAGGAGGGAGGGTCTAGCTCCGATTTGTTTGAAAATATTCGAACGTCAACACCCAGGATCGCTTTGAGAACCTTTAAGGGGGCCTCAAGGAGGAACAGGGCTTGAAAGCACTGATGGGAACCGATGATTATATTTATACAGTCATGACCACTAGGGGGAGACAAATAATAAGATTTTGAAGCACTATTCCAAAACCCCTGAGAGTATGTTGTGTATACACAGTACACCTCACTCTCCATCATCACATTCCACAGATATTTAGATCCAATCCTAATGTCCCGGTTAAGTCAACAATAGTATTCCCACAGATTCCAAAACAAAAAAAAATTGAATTTGCTTTTAAGACAAAAAATGTATTACTTAAGAAATAGTTTAAATACAGTAATTATTGAATGCCAAATTTGCTGCATTAGCTTTAGAGACTAAACAAATGATTAAAATAGCGCAAAAGTATGCTCGCATTTAAAAATTATTCCTTATATGGCACCCGGCTGACAGAATCTATCTGCCATTAGAGGAGAACTGGAGACTGGAGGTTTGTGGTGGGGACTGTAAGAATATTGACCCTGTGGGTCAGAGCTTTTTGAGTCAGTGGTTTGGAAACGTTTCCTACTGTCTTTGCTAAATGTCAGTAATAAGTATATACTTGGGTTCTGTGGATGGTGCTGCAATTGGTACTGTTACCAATGAATAGGACCATAAAATAATATACGTGCACCCACATACAGAGCTATCAGATCAGAAGCCTACTTCTGTATTCATTTATGCATCACATCTCTAACTGATAAAGTTTAGGATTTGAGTGCATTTTATTTTTCCACCAGACCATCACTTTGCAGTGATGAAAAGGGGCTTGACTCTTGACTCATGCAAGTCATTTGAATTATGGCGTACCAAGTAAATCCTGCACATAAATATGAGGAACAAAGCAGTGATTTTAAATGGATACTAAGGTTCCCAAAGCTTTTGAACAATGCACTTCCATGACTCGTCCAGTCATTCATGGGTGTAGGATAAAGACAAGATAATAACATCATTTTTATAGAATGTATAATGTTTTAAGGCCTGTAAATCACAATTTTATCCAAGTATCCTGATATTTTCAGGTTTTCCATGTCAATGAGATCAGAATAAGATAAGTAAGGTATCTTCATCAGCAAAGGTCCTGATCAAGGTGACGTGAAAAAAAAACGTGGAGTGCAGCATTACTCACAAAGAGAAAAAAATCAGCAAAGCACTAAGTCAAGCATTTAACAGTCACCACTCTCACACATTCATCATCTAATAAATTGCTGAGCACTGACCAAGAAAAACAGACTGCAGCAACATTTTCTAATCAGTAGCCAGGTTAGGGATGGAGAGTGTGGGTTGGAATATAGATTGCTACTCCATTCTTGGTTCAGTAAATTTTCCCCTGGAGAGCTGGAATCCCTCTCCTCCCACCTCTCACTTCACTATGACATGGCGTCGGTGTGGATTATCTGCATCAGCCGTGCTGTCTATGCGAATCCATCTGTACAGACAATACTGTTGTAGCCTCAGCGGAAGTTGTGAGGGGAAATATGCGCACGTGAATGTGTGGTAGGAAAGTTATGGATTCAGGCAATGACAAATCAGATGTGTCCCTGAAGATTGTCGTAAGAAGGGAAGCAAGGGAAGCACTTACAGAGGTCCAAACAAATTCCAGTAAGTCTATGATGTGAAATATGCAGACAGCTCGGGCCTTATAAAGTCGACAAAACCGACAGACTCAGGCAAACTTGTTCTGACACGTGGTCTAAAATCTCTATCAACAGATTTTTATTTTTTTTTGGATAAAATTGAGCAACTGCAATCTGACATTCTTCCATCACTGCTGAAATATCACTATGACATTTCCAATGACATTTTCTCTGTAATAGCCTACTATCTATACTTTTTCAAATCTGGCTTTAGTGGAAAAAGCAGAACATACCCCGTCCAAGGCAGCATCAACCCATTTTCCATTACAAGGCAAAAATCACAATCTTGCACATTTGTAAACTTCAACCAACTTGATCAAACAAACGGTGGCGCTATTTGTCCCTTTTCAAATTAAGTTTGAAAACTGGTTGATTCATACAAAATTGACGGATCTTTAAGTGCATCTTTCTCTCATTCATGGATTTATTAATATTTTACACCACCAACAATGTGAAATTAAAAGCGGGGTATTAATTATGGTTAACACTTCTTCCAAAGAAGACTTCCGCTGTTTTTTTTGTTTTTTTTTAAATTTATTTATTTATTTATTTTTTGCAAGGTTTGGTTTAAAAGTAAGTTTAGTTAGGGATTATTAAGGCTATCCAACTGTAATTAATTATCATTCCTGATTTACCATTATTTACATAGGCTATAGCCTAAAGTATTTTGAACTTTCTGAACTTCCTAAACTCTCATGAAACTTTTTATTATTGTCAATTTTTCACATAACCTTTGCAATCCATATTGCCTACACTTTCAGATGCTTCAGAATGATCACGACGATGACACTTTATTATTTTCACAGGTTGGAATGATGCAAAAAGTTATTTTAAAGAGAATGAATGAATGAATGAATGAATGAGTAAATAAATAAAGATACAAATAAATAAATAAAGCGTCATACCTGCTATCATTCGATTGATGGAGATGTTCAATCCGCAACAGATGCTTGTTTTTTAAGCAGGAAGCGTGTAAAAGTTAGCCTACTTCATCTCAGAGGATTTCGGTTGGATTGGCTGATAGTCCGTTTCTTCTCATATCTGCTCCACCTTCAAGACAGGGAGAGCTCAGAGACGAAACCCTTGGTAGGAATTACACTTGACGTTTAAGGGAAAGGAAGGGAAAAAAAAAATCCCAACAAGATTTTCACAAAAGAGTTTCGTATAGGGGAGGGACCATCATGCTCTGCAACGATGCGGAGCAGAGAAAGTGAAGTTGAGAAAGCGTTCAGCAATTTAACTTAATAAATCTTTGGATTTGAATAAATCTTTATTTGACAATTCAAAGAGTCTGTCGTGAATTCAAAAGGGCTTTCCACTGATTCGTTCCACTGAGCGCACAATAGCGCAGCAGTGACTTTTGTGGTTCGGTTCCGTTCCCACATCACTGGCACTTGAGTCCGTGTACATGATGTGGTAAACACTCGAGCGGGGGGTCTGCGAGTTAAAAGGACGCCTCTTCATTTTGCGTGCACATCTATGCAGATTATTGTGTGGGTGAATGACGTCAAGCTTCTTTTTTGTCTTTAGATTCTTGAGGGGAAAATACGAATCATGCAAAAATCTAAATTAATTTTAATAATTTTTGTGAGGCTAAAATCATAAACTAGGTTATAAAAAGGGCGAGAGTCTCATAAAAAAAGGATGAACTATTTTTACAGGTTTTTTTCCATTTCAAATCAATTGGAGTAACCTATAGGTACATTCATTCATGATTCATGCAAGGGAGGTTTTTGGGATGTGATAGTTCATACCCAGCTAGCAATGACCGCCAGCCCAAAAATGAAAATGCTATCATAATTTAGGCTACTCACCCTCATGTTGTTCCAAACCTGTTTGAGTTTCTTTCTTCTGGTGAACAGAAAAAAAGATAGGCCATTTTGAAGGATGTCAGTAACCAGACAGTTGACGGCACCCATTGACTTCCATAGCTAGAAGACAAAAATAATAGCCTATGGAAGTTAATGGCTATTCTTTAAAATGTCTGATTTTGTGCTTAACAAAAACAAAACTCATACAGGTTTGGAACAACTTGAGGGTGACAAACTTGACAACCTTTTCATTTTGGGTGAACTATCTCTTTAAGTAGGCTGATGGTTACTTTGTCTTTACATCAAACTTTTTCAGAACACAAACACATTTCTGTGAACCTCCAGTTGAAAACTTAAGATAGATTACCAACATATGTTTTAAACTTGTTTTTTTTTTTAAGATTTGTCTTTAAATCTATCCTCCTTTGTTAAATTATACAAATTCAAGTTTTAGATTTCTGATCAACACTCAAAACAAAAGTGTTATTTTTTTTTTCACTTAACAAGTACATTTTTTCACTTTAAATGATTGGGGGTTATTTTATTTTAAAGACTTCACCAAACAATACGGTTGACACAAAATGGCACAAATTTCTTTTCTGGAATTAAAGTGACTGCTGGAATTTGCAAGATTCAGGACTGCATCTTGCAAGACCTTATATAACACTTAATGTACATTCAGGTATATTGCCTTTCTTTCCTCGTTTCTCGATGTTTCTGTTTTCTAGTTCTCTGTCCAAATCAGATACTTAGGGAAACGGTCAGTCTTTCAATCGTCCACATGCAATGTATGCTCACATCAGCACCCTTCACAGCACTGTTCTCTGTCAAGTTTGAACAGAGAAAGGTGATCTCACCGCTTTAGACTGTGGCCTCCACCCTCCAACGTAGAGAATGTGCCCCTACAATGATCATGAGCTCTTTGTCAATGCAAGGTGTATTATTTTTATTAAATTGTCGCACATTGGTATTATATTTATTGTTTTTTTTATGATAAGAGTCAGAACACAAGACAGCAAATGATGGAGGCGGTGTGGGCACGTACACGACACAGAGCAGAATCAAACTCTAGTCTCAAATGAGAGCCACTTCTCTGTGTCTGAGCTGCAAGGTTAAAATGATCATTCTAACAGGGCTAGAAATTGAGTGGTTGGCAGCTTTGCTCTGAAAGGAATAGCTTTAAGTGATATTTCTGCTCATGGTTGTGCGATACACTGGTTGCATAGAGTGTTCTTTGTCAAAGGAAGTCATGTTTTCATGATCCAGGGTGAACCGCTTGGTTTTGTGCATGAGTTTGCTGTTTGAAGTTTGTGTCAAGAAATATTGCAACTAGCGTTTATTTTGAGTAGTCATGGCTAATATAAAATTAAGAGCTGATTCCCCTGCTGAAAAATCCAGCATAAACCAGGGTGGTTTATGATGGTTAGGGCTGGTATACTGTAGGTCTAGCTGGTGGACCGGATCCAGTTTACCCAACAGCTTGGTCAGATTTTACTCACTGCTAATCCATAATCATACATGCAAACGAAGACAGTTGGAGTTCAAGGGAACGTGAGTGTTGTGTTGAGTAGCTGCTTAGGCACATCCTTAGAGAATCAATGAAGGCTATATAGATTAATGAGTCCGTTTATTTATGCAGGTCATGGTCATAAACCATCTCAGCTGGCTTTCACCTTTCCATCTCTTATTTTAACTTCCTCCCAGAAAGAGAGAGACATTTACAGGGCGCCTCTTTCCTAACCAGCTCCCCCTCTCCCCTGTAATCTAAATAGCTTTGGGTTAGCCATACTGAATTTGTTGACAACAAATATTTAGACACATTCAAATGGGTCAAAGGTCAGGATACTGTGTCATTATACATCAAACTATACAAGCAGCAAAGCAAAGATATAAAACGTTCAAAAGTTTTAGGGTCAGTAAGTTCTTTTTTTGTTGTAAGTATTTTCTGCTGGCCAAGGCTGCATTTATTTGATCAAAATACAGTAAAGAATTATGAAATATTGCAATTTAAAAAAAAAAAACAATTATTTTCACAATTTATCGCAACCTTTTTTTTCTTTTGTCAAATCAACTTAGATAATTAATGTTGTTCGAATAACATTATTGTAGTTACTATTTATTAAACTAATCTTCTTGAATTAACTCAAATTTTTAAGTTCAAGGAACTCAAAATTTTTAAGGCAAACAGGTAACTTACTGTTTTAAGTTAAACCAACTATAGTTTTTACAGTCTATTTGAATATAATATTTAAAATATCATTTGTTCTTCAAATGGCAAAACAGAATCATACTGACCACAAACTTTTGAATGGTATTATGCATCAACAATATATCTTGTGTAGACATTTTTTTTAATGATGAACGTTAAAAGTTTAGTTTTTCATGTTTTAATTCAAAATATTAGCATTTATTTATAACACTACAAAGATCTTCTAATCTAAGGGATCTTATTAAAATCTGTTTTTTATGCCATGTGATGCCAAAGTTTTTAAACAACCAGAACCGTGGTTCAAACCACATTTTCCCCAGAGGAACTTTCAAAATAGAATACCTTTTTAAGAATTGTATGCATACATGAAGTTATAAGGATGTCCACATCTTGATAGAAGTAGCCCATCAAGACTGCTGCTAAAGTAAGACACTTGGATAGACTTCTCTAAGAGACATGACCTCCAGTGCTCAAGGCGAAGTTGCCAACATACACAAGAGAGGAGCAGAGCACTTCAAGCATGCAAACAGCTAATACAAACTAAACAGAAATTGTTCCTAAGCAAACACACTGATTTGGCACAGTGAGTCATTCTGCTCTGATATTGCCCTGGACTTGGCCTACAAGATGACATATAAGTTTTCAAGTTAGTGGCTTGAAACAAGTTCAACATTTTACAATGAAAGGATAAATAGATATTGACTTCCATTTTTGGTTGTGAATTTGGATGATTAGTGCCTTCAGCGTTTCAGTGTCAGGAGTTTGTTGACAGCCAGGGTCCTGTTGGATTATCTTACAGGTTATTTAGTTGTTCTACTAAATCTTAAGTGTAATACAAGATTTTCATATACAAAGCACTCATAGTCAGACTCTGGAGACTTGCATTTGGGTGTCTTCAGAAAACTTCTGGGGCAGAAGTAGCTAAAAAACCCACAATACACATCCTTTGCAGATCGAAATTGCACCTATTCAAACACCAAACTTTGCAAATACACTATGCTAGAAGTCAATTTACCAAAAAGTTAAGGTTGCAATATGACATCAGCGCAACTGCCAATAAGTTTCTTGTCATGCAGAAAGTCAAGTATTTACATAGCAGTACATTGCTAAATCACATTGGCCTCCCTATTTGTGCAAGATCACTTCAAAGAGCCAAGATCAGAAGCAACTCTTGTTCCCTTTTGTATGACCTTTGACCTGTCTTGCATTACGCTGTATGGTTGTTTGTCCTTCTCTCATTCTTTGTTTTGTATTATGTTTTGCATTGCCCATTCGTGTGCTAGCATGCTTGATTAGTCACCATTAAACACGTGCAAACACTTTGTACGATCACGTCAGAAGATGAATCATAGCAGAATCACAGTAAAATAAATGAAGGAAAATGTGTTATGAGCACTATATGAAGAACAAGTTGATGAGTTCGCAAAGGTTTGCCAGGTTAATGGCATCAAAATATATGAAAGACATTCAGAGTTTTGTACTTGGGTACTACCAAGTAATCCAGATGTTTACAAGCATAACTGTATGCTGTGTTTTATGGCTGTGAAATAATCTGTTCTTATCTTAATTTTAGGTAGAATGACAGAAATTAAAAAATAAGGTGTATATATATATATATATATATATATGGCTTATTTTTTAATAATAAATATAAATAAAATAATAAATAATACTATTACAAAAATAAAAACATTCAAATTCTGAAAAAGTTTATATATATATAGTGTTATTTATTATTTCATTGTAATAATGTATTTATATAATTCGATATAAAGTGTATTTTAAGGTCATATTTATAATGTTTTGTTTTAAATAAAATGTAAACAAATTCCTTATTTTAAAAATACACTCTGTAAAGTTTCTTTTATTGGAATAGATGGTTCCATGCAGAACCTTTATCTAAACATTTCAATGCACAAAAGCTTTTTCATAGTGGAAAATGTTTGTATTTTATTTTGTGTTATAGGTGGCCTGTGTTATCATTTATTTCAGATAAATTTACCAAATCATATGAAAAGAAATCAAGCTATGGTTGGTCACTTTACATCTTTTCCTATTTTCCCTTATCTTATTCCTTAACTTACAACTTTTGGTCAAGAATCATGAAA